TACAGAGGCATTCAGTTTACAGTCTCAGAGAGAGGTATCAGGCCACCACATCTGGAAAACAGATGTTTGGGAACTAATACCTGACCATGGAACCGGCGCTAACTGATCACAGACTAGTAGCTGTAGCTCCACATTCAGACCAACAGCAACAAGACACTAGTGACTGAAGCAGTTTGTCTGAGTGTAGCTGTGGACCCTGGACACACATGATGGAATAAATAAGGCGTATGCACGGGGGGCGGGGCTGTGGAGAGACCAGTTAGTGACCAGTAGAGCAGCAGCTGGACCTCACTGGGTGGACTGGTGTGAAGCTGGACCTCAGTGAAGAGTAGATGACGGCGGGCTCTGCTGGAGGCTCTGACACAAACACACAGAGGTCAGACAAGGTTAGAACAGCACAGGGGATCAACTTCCTGTCGGCCATGTTGGAGGTTCTCAGCCCTGCAGACCGCGTCTCAGATCATCACTCATCTGACTCATTTAGCCCACAGCACTGACACCAGTGAGGTGAGAAGCAGCAGCCTCTCACCCGCCACCCATCTGCTCTTCTGTGACCAACCAGAGTTGCCCCACCTGATGTCCACCTGGGGGGTGTGTCAGACCCCTTCCAGCCACAGTAACCATCACACTGGTGCACACTGGGCTGTCAGCCTGTCTGCACTGGCCTCAGCTGCTCTTAGCAGAGTCTAATCATTCCTCCCTGTGATTCAACCTCAGTTAAACTGAAATCACTGCAGAGCCCAGCATGTACCACCACCTGCAGGTGAGTCAGTGTTAAAGCGGCCGTACCTCTGCTGCTGTTTGATCTGGTGTCTATGTGTCCATAACTGACGTCGTCCTGTCGTTTCACTGCCGAGTACAGAGCCACCGCATCACTCTCTGTAAAAGACGGGGTTATTCATGAGAGTAATGGGACTGAAATAATGTCATAATTAATACAAATGTTCAAATACAATAAAATAATAATAATGTAACCACAGTGCTGTTGGTGCGTCTACAGCCTGACAGTCACCTCTCTAACATAAAGCTGCAGCCCGTCCACACCTTGAACATGAACCAGTTACATCTGACATCTTTTCTTTAAGACGCTGCTGCTGAGAAACTGAGCTGCAGGTTCCTGGTGAAACAGGAAAGTGGACGACCACAGCGAGCCGCTGAGACCGGTGACACATTTCACTGCGTTGTCACAAACTGCATCACAAACATTAACACTGTATTGATCTGTGTGACAAACTCAGGGTGAGAAGAAAAGCTGCAGCGTCTGTTCATCAGGTAAACGAGACCTGGGCCTAGTTGGGCTGCAGCTCCAGTCACAGGCTCATCACAGTCACTGGGTTCATCGTCTAGTAGGGTCTGTCACCGTCCATCCAGCAGTGGTGCAGATGTTTGAAATGACAGACAGATGTAGAGCCGTGCTGCTGACGTCAGCACAGAGTCGTACCTGTCGACCTGGCTCCTCTTCTCACAGTGGAGTAGACTGGAGCTGGATCGCTCTCTGCAAAATCCAGTTAGAGAATCAATGTTCTGCCAGAGCTGATCTGTTCACCTGCTAATATCAGCAGTAATAATGTCTTATGGTCCACAAGAAAAACTAACGAAGGGCAGACGTGTTAATGAAACAGCTGCATTGTTATAAATCCATTAAACAGACCATAATGTTTGCTCATGATGTGACACGTGAGCGGCGTCACGTCACATGCAGGAGTCATCGTCCTAGAAAAGGTGACGTGTCAATAAAAGCTGGACTAACTGGTGAAATGTCCTGTTTTGAGCCTCTCAGTTCCACAGTGAAGCAGGAGGAAGCAGATCAGTTGAAGGGCTTTTACCAGAAAACAGGAAGCTACACAGCAGGTTTACAGAAACTGTGCTGCCGACGTTTACACCACAAGGCATCAGAGAAACCCACAGCGTGTCGCATTAACACACACAGTACAAGTGGTCAAACAAACCAGAGTCCAGAACAGTTTGTTTGACTGAGACGCTGCTGGTGCTGTAAATAAATACTAAAGTCAGCAGTAAAACAGTTTGATGCTGTGGTAAAGTATCAACGTAGTAAATATCTGGACATGATCCAGAACTTTCCCGTGTCACCTTCGGTAGCTCAGGTTTGTCCTCATGAAGCTCAGCGTACAAACAGTCGCACACTCCATGTCTGGAACACAAGAAGTCTGACAACTGTAGCTGGAAACAAACCTGTCTCACCTTCAGGCTTCCTGCAGACACGTCGGGCCACCAGCAGCACCAGTAGAACCAGTAGCACCAGAACACAGATGGCTGGAGCAGACACCAACAGTGGGAGAAGACGAGGGGGGAACAGGAAGGAGCCGGTAGTGGGGGGTGATGGAGGAGGTGTGGTGGTGGGCCTCCCTGGAATAGATAGTAGAATAAATAGAAATCCTTTTATTGTGCATCTCTTTGTTTTGTGTCTCTTTTTTATTTTGCAGGTAGAACTGACGACCTCCAGCAGAAACTGAGGAGGAGCCGAAGACCTGAACCAACCAGACAGGTGTTAGTTTTCTCTTTGTGTCAGGAAACAAACTTAGTGAGGAGCAAGCGGTGACCTCCTGACCTGTGACAGAGAGCCAGCTGGGTGGAGACGCTCCATGACCACTGATGTTACAGGTGTAGAGGCCTTCATCAGCCTTGGAAACACGGCGGATGGTCATGTGACCTGTAGGCTCCGCCCCGATCAGGGAGCCATCTTTATAGAAAGCAGCTGGGAGGCTGGAGGGAGGGCTCCGTGCTTCACAGCGCACAGTGACATCATGTCCCTCCATCACAGGGAGGACAGGACTCTGCAGGATCACTGCTCCACCTCAACACAGAGACAAACTACAGCCTTTCATCCATTTACACACAGCTTCATCAGCACTGACTCCACAGTCTGATCTTACCAGTGACAGTGATGTTGATGCTGTTACTGGTCGCTCCCTGTGTGGACTGGCACCAGTAAACACCACTGTCCATCAGGAGGACACAGAGGTTACAGGAAGAACCAGCTGGTTCTCCCCAGTCTTCACACTGAGTCCTGGTGTCTCTGGTCGTGTTCCTCCTCAGCGTCCATCCAGCAGAGCTGTCGTCCTCCTCACAGCTCAGAGACACTGAGTCTCCTTCAAACAGCTGAGAGCTGCTGGGACTCACAGTCAGACGAGCTGGAGGGACAGAAACACATGGGTCAGTGTCAGTAGGGACATGTGCAGTTTGAGCAACAGGTCCTGAGTTTAAAAGTTGATCACGTGACAAAACACAGCACTGTAGTTAATTATAAGGGTGAAGGTACTGGACTGTTTCTGGGCTCTGAGCAGTGGAACCAACCTAAACATGTAACTGTCAGAATGTGATTAAGTGCATTTCCTGTTCCTTTAATTCATATTTTACATGCATGTCCAACTGCACATAGTCTCATGTCCAAGTGTGAAGACGCCTCTGAGCCAGTTTGTCATTAGTCACATACGTCGGCTCTGCTCTCACTTCTCTTCACTTCTGTAGCAGCAGAAACCTAAAAACTCTTAGTGAACATGTTTTGCTCTTGTTCCCTGATGAAGAACCGTTTAACAGTTTGAGCTCGTCGTACAGCGGGTCGACCAACCTGGGCTCGTTGTGCAGCAGAGCAGCGACGGTGCCACTGAGGAGAAACGAGACTCAGATTTACAATTAATGAAACATTTCAAGTTTCCAGGCTTTGACCTAAAGCTCTAAACACACTTAAGGTGGAAACATTAAAAAGACAAATGTATCAGAGAGTTAAGGGTTAAAGTTCAGGAGTTGTCATTAAGGGTTTGTGGACGTCTTGGCTCCAAACTCCACTCGCCAGTGGCCACAGACCAGACCTCTCACTGACAGTCGACCTTCAACAGATTAGATAACAGTCTTTCTGAAACAGGATGTGTTCTGCAGGAGGAGCTGAAATGGAGCCTAAGACTACGGAGGTTTGTCTCAGCTGTCTTCATTAAAGCTGACACTTTATGAACTTTGATAAAAGTGTAGTAAACACTGTTCTTCTCCTGACAGAGCTGTTATTTAAGACAAGAAGTGTCTGAGTTCATGTTCACTCTCCTCTGTCCTGACTTCACACTTTCCCTGATGCTCAGCTACATGAACAGTTTCTTCTGGTCATCACATCTGTTCTGTCTCTACAGCTTCTTCTACAAACGCCCTGCGACCCTCCAGCTCGCTGTGCTCAGAGTTAAACCAAGTGTTTGTACTTACAGAGCAGCAGGAGAGATGTTTGTCCCATTGTGCCACACAGAGATGTGAGGTGAAGCAGCTGAAGCTTCCTCCTTCCTCTGTGACACCAGTGGTTTCACCTTCAACCACATCTCATAAGTTTATTTCTGACATGACCCAGGATCAGGGTTACTAGGCCAGAGAGAGACAGTACAACAGGCCTTTGGTCCTGACTGAACCTGGTCCAAACTCACCTGACATGTCTGATAAAAAGACACAACTGACCCACAACAACCCACAAACGGCAAAGTGAAGCTGAGGAGCAGCCTAAAGGTTTCACCAAGGAGGAGCGTGTTTAATGCCGGGGTCACAGAAACCACACATGTCAGACAGAGAGGACGCGGTGAATTCTGGGAGAACCATCAGCAGATAGAGCCTGTCAAACACGTGCACAGTGCTGGAGGTTTGTTTTAAATCTATGGTTTGAACGAATCTTCTAAGATCTAAACTAGAGATGAACCTGAAATGTAACGTCCTTTATTCTGTCTCAGTCGGTTCCTGGATGTAAACAGCTGTGTGACAGTTCATTAGAGAAAACAGCACAAAGAGCAGAGGTCAGAGGTCACGTCTTTATCATCAGGGTACAGAAACACACTTCACTTCCCACAAGCCCCCGGTGCACGTTATGCGTAGTTGTGTTTCCCGTCCATCCCGTGTGACGTGACGCAGCATTGGGGGCGGGCATAAAGGTGGAGACCTTTCTGGTTCCGGGGGCGGGAGGCGGACCGGTGTGCGCTGTAAACCCGGTCGTCATACTGCGGTCATTCACAGATGTGCACGTTGTGTGGGTTTCCTCTGTCCGGTCTGGTGTCGCGCCCCGGTCACGGAGAACCGAGCCGTCCGCCTGGAGCCTGCGGTTTGAGCCGCTAGACACGATGAGGGGGTGAGGAACTCGGTACCGGACTAACGTTTCACCACCGGGTTTGTTTTGTGCTGTTCTGTGATGACCGGGGCTTTTTCTGTGACCGGCTGACGGGCGTGCGTGTGTTTATAACCGCTGTGACGCGTGTTAGCAGATCTAAATGAACGAGTATCTCGGTGCCTTGTGTCTAGTCAACCACGGAGAGGAGCTTCTCGGTGAGCGCCACGCAAAGCTGCGGGTGTGTTTGGTGTGTGCGTGAGTCCAGATGTTTAAATCATTTAACAGGAGAAAAGGTAGAAGTTATCGGCCTGATGTGGAGAGAGGACACGTGACTGGGCGGAGCCTGGGTGAAGGCGCCTGTCCTCTCTCCCTCTCCCCCTCTATCTCCCTCTCCCTTCCTCCCCGTCTCCCTGTCTCTATCTCCCTCTCCCTCCCTCTCCCTATCCCTTCCTCCCGCTCCCTCTCTCTATCTCCCCCTGTCTCCCTCTCTCTCTCCCTATCCCTTCCTCCCCCCGTCTCCCTCCCTGTTCCTGTTTACTTTTTGAATCCCAACGTTCCGTCTCCAGCTGCGCCGTCACTCTCTCGGCTGTCTCTGGACCAACCCTGGCCACCATGGGCTTCTCCGTGTGTTTGCTGCTCCTCTCTGTCGTCTCTGCGCTGGAAGGTGAGCTGTGGGGGGGTAGAGAGACCTGGTCAGTCACTGAGCAGAGGTCTGGTATAAACAGACACCGCGACTGCAATAAACTGAGCTGTGCATTTGTGATAATGATCAAATGATGAAGGGTAAACTCCACCATGGGCTTCTCCGTGTGTTTGCTGCTCCTCTCTGTCGTCTCTGCGCTGGAAGGTGAGCTGTGGGGGGGTAGAGAGACCTGGTCAGTCACTGAGCAGAGGTCTGGTATAAACAGACACCGCGACTGCAATAAACTGAGCTGTGCATTTGTGATAATGATCAAATGATGAAGGGTAAACTATGAAGATAAAACACTATCAAATGTTATAAATGCGTGTTTAACGTTTTGTCTGTAACAAGCCATTTGTGTGTGTGTGTGTGTGTGTGTGTGTGTGTGTGTGTGTGTGTCATGCTGTACAAACTGCACATAAAACACATTTTACAAATGCTTAAGATCGATTTTTCCTGTGCAGTTCTTTAGAAAGTACGTACACATTGTTACCTACGCATGCGTGGATCGTCTAACACACGAATCACCTTCCGCGCACACACGGATTTTTGAGTGTTTTTCCGCACTCTCAAAAGTCCACGATCCACGAATGCACGGTGCGTTTAAG